AATATTTTTATTAATAGTTTAAATTTTGTTTCAGTAAATAACAAGTGTTAATAAAATCATACGAGTATGAAACCACAATTAATAAGTATTCATATTATATTTTAATATTAAATATTATATATATATATATCAGTTGTATTTAGTTTTAGATAAATATCACATAAAGAAATAAAAATAATTTTTATTTATTAAAAAAATATATTTTAAATAAACAAAAGATTATTTTAATTTATGTGCTTACTCTACTTAATTATGTAAATAATAGTTTTTCTCTTCTCAATCATTTAATATATTTATTATTCTGCAGTGTGTAAAGTAATAAAAATAAATAATAATAGGTGAGAGTAATTGTTTACGTAATGTTTAATCCATGTAAAATGCAGATCTTGACCTAATATATATATATATATATATAGACATTAAAAAGAAATCAAACTTCCATTATTTCCTATGAGCAGTTAATTTTGCGAATTTGTTTTTATCAGCAACATGTTGCTGACTTTAACCTTTAAACTACATTAAATGAGATATTGACTTAAGGTCCTTAAATAACGTAAATTATCTAGGTCTTTTGATCAAAAAAAAATGATCTAAGCCTCTAGTTTTCATTAGAAACCATTCCATTCGTACGATGAAAAATTCAGTAAACATCTTACTAAATTTTGATACTTTTAACAATAAATATTTTGATATTTTAACTAATTATTTGACTTACTTCAATACATATTGTAATTTGTTACTGAGCCAGTTTAACATTCTTAACTTAATAAAAACTTAAAAAGTTAACACTATACATCTATTTATTTTTATATAAAAAATCCAATTTTTTCATAAAATCTTAAAAGAAAGAAATTGTTATTTATTTTAGTTTCAATTTTTAAGTTTATAAAAAATAAAGTTTTAAAGAAAGTTACATAAAATATCTCAACCAAATAATATCAAAAGTTTAAACATAATACACTTTTTACAAATTCAATCTTAATTTACCAAAATTCTCTATACTATACAAATATTAAAGTAGGTAAACATAAAATTTTAGGTTTTAAAAATATTATCAAAATTAGTTAAGACATTCTTTGACATTTTACTTTTAGAAATTTTCAAATTTTAAGATACATTCTGAACATAAACTTATCAATATTTAAATATTTTATATTTTTGGTATTTTTAAAAATTAATTATATTATAATATTAATTTGTATTATTAAAATAACAAATTTTTCTATTGAATCAGAAATAGAAAATATCAAATGGGACATTTAAAAATGACATATTAAAGTAGAAAAATTAGTTGATGTTAATTGGAAAGAAATAAAAATTAGATATTTAAAGCTTATCAATATTAATTGATATATGAAAGTCTTTCCTCTTTGTACATGATTTTAAAAACACTTAATAAAATAAATATTTAATAAATCGTTAGGCGGTAACTATGCATTTCATAAAAAATATTTATTTATTATATGTGTTATATTTTGTTACATATTTTATTTTTATGGTTAACTGAAAAAGTATTTTGATAAAACATAAAAGAATTTAAAAAATAATTTTTAAAAAAAAACTTCTGGACTGCTTTAGATTTCCCCCTGAATTTGAACTTGGGAAATTGTCAGAAATAACACTTTCAAGATACCACTTTTCAACTTTACACTAACCAACTTTACCATCAAAATTTTAATACTCAAAATACTATTAGAATTTAGGGTTTTGGGTTTTGGGTTTAGGATTGATAGTTTAGGGTTTAGTGTTGATTTTTTAGGGTTTAGGGTTTACTTTTTAGGGTTTAAAGTTTAGGGTTTAAGGTTTAGAATTGATATTTTATGGTTTATGGTTGATTTTTAGGGTTTAGGGTTTACTTTGTAGGGTTTAGAGTTTAAAATTGATGTTTTAGGGTTTAGGGTTAATATTTTATTTAATATTTATTTTATGTATATATATAAAGAATAAGGATATAAAAGTCTTTTATCCTTTAATAAAATGTGTATTTTTGAAAATGTTCTTTTATTGATGGTAAACATGAAAAGTGGTACCACCAAAGTGGTATGATTGAAATTTTCCCTTTGAACTTGGCAATTATTAAAAGAAGCGCTTTAATTAATTTTATTTTGTTTTAGTTAAAATTCCAATGTTTCTATTTTTTTCTAAGAACGGCTAAAAACTTACCAATGATTTTAATTTTTGTGTTTCTTTTCCTGTGGATTCAATTATTTTCTAACACAGTCTATTCGTTTTCTATTGATAATACCAATTTGATAAATTCATAGGAATAAAGGAAAATTATGAATAGATTATTTTAATGTTTTGGACTTTATCTACAATTATATTTATTTTCCCACATGTTTTGTTGATTGAGGATTAAAACTGTTGTTAGAATTATGTAATAGACTTTTTTTTGTTAAAAAGCTTCACAACTCGTGGAACGGTGTTTAAGCAACACAAACAAACAAACAAAAGTCGTGGCACAGTATTTATGGTGATACATCGATGATAAATTGATAATGGCACAAGTCGCTATCCTACATTTCATAGTCTAATTTTAGAAATACTTTTATATATATCCAAACACCTTATTAGAAGGTTGGCTCATTCCAGCTTTGATTCTCCCTCTCATATATCCTATGGAGAATCCTATGAGAGTTATCGAGGATATTTGTCTGTTTTGTCTAGGGGACCGCACGAGATGGTTTTTAGACTATCTATAGTAGCATAGATTTTGCGTTTTTGTAGTTTATTTTTGCTTTTCGTTGCTGTGCTTTTGGCTTATTAAAGAAAAGTTCAGTTTTTGGTAACGAACTGAAATTATTAGTTTGGATACTGATCAGCTCACTATAACAAGTCGCAGCAATCCCCTGGAAAAAATGAACTGTTGAATTTTTTAACGACGCGATCTGTGACACACACATAAACCCCCAGAAGTCCTCAACTCAATTTAAATTGAGGAATTTTAGGCCTAATAGTAAATTCAGTGCCAATTAGCATAGCCCGCTAGGTAACACAAGGTTCGAGGACCGATAAATCATTATTGGGCTGACATTATCAGCCCAAATGCATTTTCCTAACTACTCAGCTGCAAGTATTGGGCCAGATTCTTTTTATTTTGGACTATCTTATTCTCGTCGTGGGTAATTTCAAAAGATTTTTTAAAAAATTAGTTCCAAACGGCTCATTCTGATACCCAAGTAATTATCTACTATATATATATACCCAAGTAATTAGTATATATATGTTCATACTTATACTGATTTTTTTTGATAAAACTTAATTCGTGTTTCTTATGATGAGATTTTTAGTGGAATATAAGAAATTGTTTCTTAGAGCATCATTAACTCTTAGTTCTTAACTAAGGATTCTTAAGATTTTCTTTTTAAAATTTTGTCTTTAAAAAAACAAAAAATAAATAAAAAAGAACTAATTACAAATCGCTACGTGTTAGTGAGACCCACGAAAAGTGTAAGAACCAAATTCTTAGAAAAGAGATTTAGAAGTCAACTCTTAAGCTTTTTGTGGGTCCTAACCTAACTCTTAAGAACCCTTAAGGTGAGGATAATGGTGCTCTTAGTTACTCTTAGAGCATCCCCATCAGTGAATCTGATGGGTGGAATTCATAGAAAATTTTTTTTTTTTTTTTTAATTTGTTTTCTCTATAAAAAATTAAAAAATTAATAACGGACCAATCGCAGAACACCACGTGGCGAACCCCGTGTGAACCGGGTTCATCCTGACGAACCTCCAAGACCCGGGTTCACCAAAATCAGCATATATTTTTTTGTTTTCTTGATCCGCGTGTGAATCTTCCCCCCCCCCCCCCCCCC